GCCCGAGCTTGTCCAGCAGCGGGGAGGTGGAAGAGACGCTCTGCCCAACTTTTCCCTGGTGTTTCCCCCCAGGCACGTGTGGCTATGGTGGAATTTGATTTCTGAGAGACCAGAGCATCCAGAAACAGAGCTGGGCTCAGTCACGCAATGGATCAGGTGGAATATAATCGAGGCTGGGGACTCTCCAACCCTTTCCTCCCTGCACCATCTGCTGAAGGTGCTCACTTTTCATAAACACTGACCTAAAATCAAGAAAGTTTAAACAAAAGGGTTAAATATTGCCCCTTCCTTCTCCATTCAATCCCGAAGAGAATAATTTTGGAGTTAGAAAAGCATCACTTTAACTCCTAAAATAATAGCCTTGAATAGCCCTGTTTTGTTCCGACCTCCTTCTCCAGCCCCGCTCCCTGCCCAGCGCTCCGGGCGCACATTCCCCTCATCGCATCCCTCTGCCTGGACATCCTCTTGCACATCCCTCCGCTTCCTGGAATCTGCTCCTCTCGCACATCCACCGCCAGGTCTCGTCTCTTCCATTTGCTTCGATTGCCCTCTGCCGGGCGCTGGCAAAGGGAAGGACGGTGCCCTGGGAAGTGCCTCCTCTCCCTTTCCCTCTCCTCTCCTTCCCTCTCCTTGACATGGTTGTGTGCGAGATAAAAACCAGCTCCGGAGCTCTTCACGCCCAGAATTGGGCCAGACTTTTCCCCCAAGCTCAGAGCGGGATGGAAGGAGCTTGTCCTGAGCATCCTGATCCCTTTGCTCCGTGTAAGCTTTGCCTCTCACCCGGGGCCAACAGAGAATGCAGAGGGTGGTTTGTACACGAAACAGAGGGAAACCTGAGATCTGGAAGGGCCACACTCCCAAAATAGGTGTTGTAGTCACTGAGGAGGAGCTTCAGACCGCCCAGGTAGGGGAGAAGGTGGGGGCTGAATCCCTGAACCAGGGGCTTTGGATTCAGGGAGGAGATGGTGGGAAACAGGGCAGTGCTCCAAGGGAAGCAGGCAGCAGTGGGGTGCTGCCCTGAGTCATGGAATCGTGGCAGGAGACAATCATGGGCACACAAAATCTCAGAATCATAAATCATAGAATCAAGGAATCCTAGAATCATGGAATCACAGAATCAGAAAGTCATGGAATCCTGACATCATAGAATCGCAGAATCATAAAATCACAGAATCGTGAAATCATAGAATTGTGGAATCACAGAATGACAGAATCATGGAATCATGGCATCATGAAATCATAGAATCATAGAATTGTTCAGGTTGGAAAATCCCTCTAAGATCGAGTCCAGCTGTCCCCCCAGCATTGCCAAGCCCACCATTAAACCTAAAAACAAGACCTAAAATCAAAAAAGTTTAAAGAAAGGGTTTAAACATTTCTTCTTCCTTCTCCATCCAACCCCAAACCAATTAACTCTGGAGTTATAAAAACGTTGTTTTTCTTTCAGTCCAACCAAAGAAGCCTTGAATGGCTTTGGTTTGCCACATCTCCACCTCAAATTGCCAAATCCATGTGCCTTTTGAACCCTTCCAGGGGTGGGATTGAAGGGAGGCTGTGTCTCATCCATTAATGGCAGGAAAAAGGTTCATCAAGTTGCTGATGCCTCGAGACCGAAGAGCATCAGCAACAGCAAGACCCAGAAAGTCCTGAGGGTGCTGGAAGAGGAGGGAAAACATGGGAGTGTGGGCTGGTTGTGTCACACCAGGGTGGTGAGAGCTCCATGTCCCACCATTAGGGCCTGGGAGCAATTTTGGGGAGGGCAAAGCTGAGTAGAAGTGTCCCACTGGGGCCATGCAGGAATCTCGAGGCAGGAACTCGAGGATGTGCAGCTCCATGCCTGATATAACCCTGTCCCACGCTGAGCCACAGCCAGGTGGCTCAGAAAAAGGAACAAACAGGCAGCATTCAGAGGAATATTCCTCATTTCCAAGCATATCATTTCTGCCCTCCAGCACAAAGCCCCTCCTCAGCTTTTTAGCAGCTTTTGCATTTCATCAGGCTCAGTCCAAGGTGGAAAAGGAGAGGGAGGAGACTGGAGACCACTTTCCTTAGAGAACTGGGGGCATTTCAGCAGCAGAGGTGCTGTGGGGGCAGATTGAGGCTCTCCCATCTGTCCCCAGAGTTGGAGGGAAGGGTCAGCAAAGATGGGTCAGGGAGCAGGAGAAAGGGATCCCCTGGGAATGACCAGCTTTGACAGGACCATTCTCTCCTCCTTCAACACAGAGCCACCTCCCACCATTCCCCTATCCCACCTGGACCTGCTTCTCCCCAGCAGCTGGAGGAAAAGCTTGGAGAAGGGCAGCAAGGGAAGGAAAAGACTAAAAAATAACAGCAGGTCTTTGGGCACCAAGGGGATGGAAATGAAGGTGACTCCGAGATTTCCAGGCCTGTGTCCCTCGGTCACGGCCGGCGCCGGGGGGGCTGAGGAGGGGGGGACAGACACCAGCCAGGCAGTCTCTGCTTCCAGAGGTCCTCACAGACCCACCGGATTACAGACGATGGAGGAGAGCAAAGCCTTATACCAATTAATTCCCAAAGTGTAATTAACATCTGGGGCAGCTCCCTGTGATCCCCCACCGCTAATGGAGCACAGCCCCGCCTTAATTCCTGCACCATCTCCGTGTTAAATCCAGGAGCAGGTTCCATCACAGTTCCCTTAGCGGGAAAAAAGGAAAGAGAGGGAAATGGAGCAGGATTTGTCTCAATGCAATGTGATGGAGTTTGCTGGATAAAGAAAGTAAGGATGGGGGGAGGGCATGGAATGGGGAATTTCGTAGGTGTGTGCGAGCGCGGGCACCTGGATATTCTCCCTCGCCATGACCTCCCTACACCCCATCCATCAGCCTGGGCTTGGCTTATTCCAACACCAGAGTCTTTGCTGGTGTTGGAGAGGCCCACGGACACAATCTGCATGCCAATTACCGGAGCAGACCCCCTGATACTGGGAAATGGAAATTAGCTGTCAAGGGAAAACCGGCATCAGCAAGGCTGGGCTTGGATTGCCTGCGCTCCCCGCTCATCTCCACGGGCGCCCTGCTCTGTGTGCTGCCATGGCAAGGGAGCCCCCGATGGAAAAAGTCATCCAGAAGAATAATAAAATAAAAAATAATAGTCAAACCCCCCTGCCAAGTAGAACATTTTACTGCTATTCGTGTTGGTTGCCAATGTTGCGAGCACAACGCAACATTCACCCGAGGGTAAGAGCCCAGAGGATGAGGAGGAGCAGGGAAGAGTTGGGATAACTGGGATTGTGAGGCGGGTAGATCAGCAGTGAAAGGAAAGGGCATGGAAAATGTTACCTTAAGGGTAAAGCAGATCCAGGTCTGGCTCCTCCAATGCTCTGAGGTGGATGTGCCCCAAACCCACCCACTGCAGGTCTGGCACCCACAAACCCCATTGCAGGGGATGTAGGGTGGGGAACACACTTCCCAACTGAGCATTCCCCAAAATTCGGGGAGGATGTGGCTGGAAATGCACTGGGCAGAGCACACCTGCCTGCAGGAGGTTCTCCATCCAAAATGGGGATGGCAACAGGCTCCCTGAAAAAGAAACAGGAGCCAGGCTGTGCTCCAGCTGCTGCCCTTGGAGACGCTTGGAGAGCTTTCCCGGGAGCCAGGGGGAAAAGGGGAGCTGGAGTTGGAAGCTGGTTGGTCCTGAAGGAATATTTTGGGGGAAAATACGCTGAGAATTCTAGTGCCAGATCATCTGCATCCTGCTGATCTGGGATGGAGATGGAAGAGGGATGGAAGTTGGTGAGGAAGATGCACCACCCTTTGCAGGGAAGGGCTGGAATGGGGCAGGGGGCCGAGGGAGGGGGTGACAGCAGGAGGAGGAGGAGGAGGAAGGTGACTCTCTTCAGCCCTGCTTTGTGCTGGGGGAAGTCCAGGGGGTGGGAGCTGCTCCTCTTGGCAGCCCCTTCCCGTTCCCTGCTGGCATTCCCGGGGGGTGGCAGCACCGAGGTTTGACGAGCATCACTTAACCTGCCTCCTGCTCCGTAATAACCTCATACATCACCGGGAAGAGACTGCGGAGTGCGGCTGGAAGGGCTTTGCTTCCACATCCAGCAGCATTATCCCGAGGCCCCTGGGCTCTGTGTGCAAACAGGCTGCAGATCTCCAGGGGAGAGTGCCCAGACATCCATTATTCCTGCACGGGAGGCTGTGCATGGGACCAGCCTGACATCTAGCAGCACTGGGAAAAATGGGATGTTCCTGCTGGCAAACTGGGGGCTCAACAGTCCCTCTGCTATCTGCATGTCTCAGGTGCCCGAGGAGCTCTTCCTGCCCTTCAAGATCATCCATCCCCGGCAGCTCTCGGAGGCACTCCCTGCCTCTATCCCACATCCAGCCCCTCTCCTCCTTCCAGCTGCCAGCCTTCATGCAGTGCTCAGTCCCAGTTTAAGCAGGGGGACCCCTCAGTTCCCACCTACAAGGGACAGCCCTTTGCCTGAGAGGGCTGCCAGGTCTGCAGCATTTCCCATGGGGATTATGGCTGTCCCCCTCCTGCTCCATCTGGATCCCTGCTCCCACCCCCACATTTTCCCAGTCCTGTGGCCCTGTGCATCATGAGAGGGACACACTCCTCCAGTAACAGGACAACTGCTGCCTACTCAGGGTCTCCAGGGGGGCACGTGGTATGGATGAAAACCTCATCCCTTCTCCCAGGACAGCGTGGAGCAGCAGCAGAGCCAGCAGGGAGTCTCCAGGGACACGACAGACTGAGCCACCCACAGCCAGCCCTGAAAACTGGGGATGCGTGGGCCAGTCCAGTGGAGCACTGGGACAAATGCTGGGGCACAAGCTCCAACTTTGAGATGGCTTTTTCCTCGAGAGGAGCAGTGGGATGGAGGGGATTAGGGGCATGGAGGAAGGGGATGGCAGCAGAGAACACTCTGGCTGGCGGGGAGTGCTTTGCTTGCAGCGGGCTCAGCTCCACCCCGGCCCCCCAAAGGCAGGAAAACCCGCGCGCAGATCCCGGGAATGAGCAGGACAAGGAGGAGCTGAGCGACTCAGTTGTTTATTGGGGGGTTGTGGCAGCCCAGCCCACGGGCTCGGCTCACTCGGTGATGCTGCGGAAGGACTGGACGGCGGGACTGGCCGCTCCCCACTCCACGGGCTTGCGGTACTCCCCCTTGGGCAGCAGGTACTGCCGGCCCCGGTAGTTGGGGTGCTCGTAGAAAACCCAGACGCCCTCCAGCACCCTGCAGGCGTGCACCTCACGCATGTGCCACTCCTCCATGACAGAGGGGCAGTCTTCGGTGGCTTCGAACATCTGCCCCCCGAAATCGCCCTTCTCGAACACCTGGATGTGGCCCCGGCCTCCACTCGGCTGGAAAAAAGGGAGAGAAAGTCATGGAATCGTGGAATGCTTTGTTTGGGTTGGAAGGGACATAAAGATCAAGTTCCACCCCCTGCCATGGGCAGGGACACCTTCCACTAGCCCAGGTTGCTCCAAGTCCCATCCAGCCTTGCCTTGGACACTTCCAGGGGTGGGGCAGCCACAGCTTCTCTGGCCAACCTGATGACCAAGTGTGGGAGGGAGGTATCCCCATGTCCTGGCTCTGACAGTCACCAGCACGTGGGAGCAGAGCTGGGGTACAGTCAGACTCAAACACAGTCAGGTCCAAACCACCCCCCAGCACACCAGGCCAGGGCTGAACAGCTCGTGTCAGACCCCAAAAGCACCGGAGGGAGGCAGGGGGGTAAATGGTGACGTGCACAGAGGGTACAGAAGCACCGAGCCAGAGCAGAGCAGCTCCAGCTCAAAGCCCATCCCGGCCCTGGCTCCGCAGGGAGGAGGCTGCAGGCAGGGACAGGGATAAGGCCAGGTCAGCAGTGCCGGGATCACTATCCCGGGCAGGCTTCAGCCCTTCAGCCACCCCCTGTGAGCGTCTGGAGAGACAGACCCCCCCTCCATGCCCGGCTCCTCCAGCAGCGAGTAGTTTAACGAGCTGCTGAGCCCAGCGGGGCCGTCGGGCAGCAGGGTGGGTGTTTCCCGCCGGGATTGGAAGCGCTGCTCCGCCCCAAGGCACCGCGGCAGCTTTTAATCTGCAGCTGTCTGGACACCCCTTCCCCCGCCTCCCCGGCCGTCCCAGCCCACTCCCTCCTCGCTCTGCGGGGTCTCAGGGTCTCCCCCAGGGGAGGAGGGAAAGCCAGGTACCAGGTGGATGTGCAGGATAAGGCTCCCACATTTCATCCTGCTGGGGGAAGCTGTGTTACATCTCCCACGTGTGTTGGCTCCATCTCTTATGCCAGATCAGTGCTCCGAAGGGGCTGGAAACTCTCCCTGCCCTCTGCAAAGGGATTTAGACTCGGCTCAAACCCACAACAGGCTCAGAGAGTTGTTAGACCCCCAGATAGAAAAGGAAAACCCCTTCTGAGCTTTGAGACCTGTTCCATGCAGTGGGAATTCGTGGCTGTGCTCCAAGCCAGCTGCACACAGATCACCAGTGTCTGTCCCACTGCTGGCAAAACCTCAGCAGCAACACCAACCCACACTCCATCCACACTGCCAGTTCTAAAGGGTGCTTCTCCCCTGAGGTTTTCCAGAAGGATCATTCCCTCTGCTCCTTTCTCCCCATCATCATTTTGGAGGGGATGAGCACAGTTCCTGTGCTGCAGCTGGGAAACACACTCCTAAAACCAGGAGATGCCAGGCTGCTCCAAGCGTGCCCAAGAGGGCTCCAGGCATCCCTCCCACTGCTGGGCACTCCAGAGTTGCTCCTGGGACTCGTCTCTCCATGCCCAGAGAGGTTTGATGACACTGAGAGCCAGTTCCCTGTATCAGAAAGGAGCCTTGGTTTGTCAGAGAACAATAAACTGGTCCTCAAAAAAAATGCTCCTGCAAAATCCACATCCCACTGTTACAGGCCTTGTGCCCACCATCAGTTGGATCAGTTGGCAGCACACCAGGGAAAAGGCAAACCTTGGAGCGACCTGCCTGGACACCGAAGTCCCTAAAGGAACATGCAGATGAAACCAGGCTGATGTTCCTATGGAAACCCACCCCCACTCAAAGGGATCTGCAGTCCAGAGCGGGAAAGATTTACCTTCTCCCCTCACCAAACACTTTGCCGTTCCCAGGGCAGGACTGCAGGAACAAATCCCCCACAGCCACCCTCTCCACGGGTCCCCAGGAAGATGGGGGCCACCCACGTGAAACCCTTCCCTGATAAATAAATCCCCCCAGCCGTCGGGCAGAGGCGACACTCACGATCTGGATGTACTTGCAGGAGCCCAGGCGGTCGTTGAGGCCCATCCAGTGGTGGTAGTCGGGGTACTCGCCGTGTGTCAGCACGTACATGTTCCCCGCGTAGTTGGGCCTCTCGTAGGCCACCCAGGTGCCTCCATCCACACGGATCGAGTTGCAGCGGCTCAGGTAGGTGTGGAAGTCGGGGCAGTCGCTGTCACACTCGTAGTAGCGGCCGAGGAAGTTCTTGTCTTCATAGAAGGTGACCTGAAACAAGCAGAGGAAGGGAAGTGGGGAGGTTCCTCATCCCAGCACATCCCTATTCCAGCCTCATTGTGGCGCGAAACGTCTGAAAACGGAGCCCTCAAGATGTCAAAAATCATCAGGGCCAACCCCTGAGCAGGACCAACTGCGGGCAGTCCACCAGCCTGGCCCCAGCGCCTCCGGCCCCCACTGAGGTCTTGCCTTTCCCAGCCCCTCATTCTGTCCCCGTCACAGAATCACAGAATAAGATGGGTTGGAAAAGACCTCCGGGATCATCAAGTCCAACCCTTGATCCAGCACCACAGTGGTTCCCAGCCCATGGCACTGATGCCACATCCAGTCTCACCTTCAACACCGCCAGGGACGGTGACTCCACCCCCTCCCTGGGCAGCCCATTCCAATGGCTGAGCACTGTCTCTGTGAAAAATCCAACTCAATGCTCCTTTGGTGAAATTCCTGTCCTGTTTCCAGCAAAACTCTATTAAAATAATTCCCTCCCACCTCCTCTAGATCAGGAGTTACTAAATTCTGGCCAAGGGAGTCATGAGAAGTCATTGGACTGTACAAAGCAGCATTTCTGGGGACACGAGTTAGTGGTGGTTCTGGCAGTGCTGGGTTAACAGCTGGACTTGGTGACCTTAGAGGGCTTTTCCAGCCTTCATGATTCCATGATTTCCTTTATACTGGCTCACCGAGTGTTGGCAGTGAGACCTTTCCTCCCAGGCCATGCCTTCCAGCCCATTCTCTTTGTTCCTGCTCCAACAACCCACAACTTCCCTTCTCAAAACTCACTGCCAAAAGCTGGACATCACACAAGCTTTGCCTGTGCCAATAGAAACTAAAGGAGCATTCCATGGACATGGAATACCAGAGATCTTTGGACAACCAAGGATTGCATTTGCAGTTGGCTTGTTCCGCTGCAAGCCCATAATACAGCTGACAAATTCCCAATCCATCACCACATTTGTTTCCCAGGAGCTGCTCTACAGCCAGGCTGACCCCAAAGCACCTTGTTTAGGGACATTTTATCCTGACTTGATCACTGTTTGGAAATGATCTCAAGAGCTGGTGAGCAAATGCCATTCCTCTCACCCAAGGCATCACCCAGACAGCCCTGGAGAGGCGACCCCTTTTTTCCTTAAAAACCCCTTCATGGAATATTGCCAAGCCCTAGACCAGACCAGTCCTTTCTCCAGCCCCATTTTTAGATCATCTCAGCTGACAATTGTTCATCAAGAGCTGCTCTTTTCAATGAGGGTTCCTGAGCCATCATGTCTATCCTGACACATCCCTTGCTTGCTCAGGACACCAGATGCTCTAGAGATCTAAACACCCAACATTCAGTATCCCACAATCCATTTTCCCCATGGTTTTTCCACAGCTTGAGTATTAAGATTTCTTTTGCTCCTGGCTGGTTGTACCTCACCCATGGTGCTTTGGCTACTGGTAACAGCCCCGCTGTTAAAAACATCATTCATTGTCATGGTTCCAACCCAAATCTGGGACAACTCGCTTGCTTTTTATTTTTAATCATTTATTTTGTATTAAGAATTAAGTCAGCCACAGTTTTCCTGGAGCTGGTTGGTCAGGGTGTCTCACCAGCCTGACTAGGTATCTGGGGAGTCGGACTGACCCTGCCAGAGGATTCATGTCAGTGGACATTTCTTGGGATAATGTTATTTCCCTCACATTTTCCTCTTAATTTCAAGGACTGATCTCCCATCACGAAGCAGTTGGTGAGTACCAAACAACCTGTCCCCACATCTCTCCCTCCTGAGCCAGCTCTTCCCACCTTCGTGCAACAGAGAGCTGGGAATCACCACCACCTTTCCTGCAGGGAATAAAGGCTGTGACAGGTGTGCACTGCAATGCCCAGTTCCTGTTTTCCCACACTGCCACTCCTGGGCAGCTGACCACAGCCAGGCCTTCCCGGCCACAACCCACTGCCATTTTCCAGGTCCTGCTTCTGGATCTTTTTCCCCAGAGGCGTCATCTGGAAAATCTGCCGGCATGACCCAGAGGTAACCCCAAAAGCCCTGTTCACGGAGGTTCAGCATCAGCCTCTTCCTGAAGCCAGGGGTCAAGGAAGCCACAGCATCCCTGTAAAACCCTGCAGGGATCCATCTCTTCCCGGCTCAGCCATTATCCACCACTAGGATGCCTGAGGAGTTCTCCCCCTCTCCAAACTCATTCTCCAAGCTCTGATCCACAGTCCCACCCTTGTCCATGCAGAGTGTCCAGCACTGTCGACGAGCTCTGCCCAACATCTGTAAGACCATGGGTCTGGTCTCCAGGCAGAAGGATCCCTGGAAGTGTCCTTCTCCAGGCTGGATGAGGCTCGGAGCAACCTGGGCTAGTGGAAGGTGTCCCTGCCCATGGCAGGGGGTGGAACTGGATGGGATTTAAGGTCCCTTCCAACTCAAACCATTCCAGGATTTAATGATGTTCCTTCCCCACCCAGCCTAATGCAGCCAAAGTGGACCTTGGCAAAGCTCCCTGGTGTTCCCAGGAGACCATTTTCCAAGAGCACATCGAGGCTTTTCCCACAGAACCGTGACCAACCAAAGCGCTGCTCCTTGGTTTATTCTGGGAATACTTAAGGAGAGAGGGAATCCTGCCCACCCATTCTCCACCACAGCCCTTTGCACACACCCTCAACCCGTTTCAGACCTTCTCATCCCAGTTTTCCTCGGGGACTCAGGCACAAAAGGAGCAGGTTGATGTTTTCACCCATAGAATAATGACACAGTTAGAGATTTCAATTCCAGACTCTCACTCCCAGGCAAATCACCTTCCTTCAGTAAAACCCTCAAGGTGCTCTGCTTATATTTAACCTCTCCCTACCCAAACCTTCCCCTTTGGGGCTTACCTGGCAGGTGCCACATTTGCCAAAGCAGATGTTCCTTATGGGAGTAAAACTCTTACTCCCTAGGTCACCTCACCTCAGTTATCACATATTTCTTCCCAACAGCAGCTCAGCTGGAAGGAAACTCTTAAAACCAAATCTAATAGTGCCCATTGCCTTCTGTGCCAGCAGTGACCCCTCTCCAGGGCAGATCACTCGCTGAGGTTCTGAGAAATGGTGTATAATTCTCTCCTTTGTGCTTTTCTTCTCCCTGGAATGTGCTAAACAAGAGCATGGAATAGAGAAAAGATAACTCCTCCTGGGCATCTTGCTGCATCTCAGCAGCACATAATCCATGGATTCCTGTGGCACACAGGAGGGGACACAGCTTCGGGCAGACTGTGCTCAAGGCTCTCCAAGGGACGGGAGACTCCAGGATGGAGCAGTTACGATTCCCCCACACTTATTTTAGGCACAGGGACAGAAAGACTGTACCCCTGAGACCCCAGAGCCACCAGTACACCCTCCTCAGATCTCCAGGCTAACAGCCAAGCTTTGTGCCAAGGGCAGAGCCGAGAGGAACGAGGAGAAGCCGAGACCGAATCCGGATCTTCCAAAGCATCGCCTGGTGCCTGCAAACCCACTGTGCCTCCCACATCCCCTTGGGTCTTCCAGCCTCCACAGGTTACAAGGAATCCAACCCAAAAGCAAAACTTAGAACCTCTGCCCACAGCTTCTTACCAGGTGTTTGACATTCCACGGGGGAAACTGGCCACCATTCCGAGGCTCTCACCCTCCTTCCCTGTCCCAGCTGCTCCTCCCTGCCCGGTCCCAACCCTGCCACGAGGTCACCAACCAGCTCTGCTCAACTCAAGGCTGAGGAACACGGCACCAGAGCTGGATCCCCACCTGACACAGCACTCCAGCTGAAGCTGAGCCTCCTGATCTACCTCCTTTTCTGGTTTAAATTCAGCCCTGCCGATTCCACCGAATCCCAAGGCCGGTTCACATCCCTCAGGGAATGCTATTCCCTTTGGCGCCACGGCCATCGTTCAGGAGTCTTTCTGTTGCTCCACCATGGAAGGGGGATGTGGCAGCTGCTGCAGCTGTTGGGAGTCAGGTTCTCCCAAGGAAGCCTTCCAGGAGACTCCGCTCTGCAAACCCAGTTCGTCGCATTCCCTGCGGGCCCAGCGCCCTCTGCCCCCAGTTCACAAGGCATCGGCTCCTGCTGATTTCAAACCACTTTAACATATCCCCTCACCAGTTACTTGCACTCAACTCCATCCTCTGGCAGAGCCCCACCCAGAGGAACCAGCCAAAACCTGGGAAAAGACTTGGGAGGGGCTCCCCTCCACGTGAGGAGGGATTTGAGGCTTCTCCTCTTGCCCACCCACTGGCAGAGGGGGAAGCTGTCAGCAGAGCAAGGAAAACAAAGTTTCTCCACAGCTTACTCCTGATAAATTCTGAGCTTTTATATCCAAAATGATGAATATAACTGCAATTCAACTTACCTTGGTTCCAGCTCTGGACATTTTCCGTTCCAGCCAAGCTCCCCTGTGCCGGAGGAACGTCAGGAGCTGTTACAAACAGCCAGGAGCCGAGGTGCCCTTTTTATAACGGGCTTGTTTTAAACCAGACAGCCGCTTTGTCATGAGAATAGGATCCAAAAATTGAGTCAGTGATTCTGAGGCTATAGCCGATTTCCAGAAAAGCAAACAGGATTATGGAATAAAGGAAGGCTTCGCCATCCTCCCTTTGTTACCATTTGCTGAGTCAGAACACCAAAACTCTGCCAAACGCACTCAAAACACGCAGCCCCCTGCCAAGCCCGGGAGCACGGGGGGCAGTTTGGCTGCTCCCTCCCTTCCCAGCTTGTCAAAGCAGAAAGAACCCTCGTTGGATCGAAGGGATCACCCCCATTCCTAAGGAGGGGACACAGTATTTCTCAGGGAATGTTCTGTGCAGCGAAGGATGCAGTTAAGGAATAACAAACACGAGCTCGGGGCACACGCCACAGGCTTGCAAAGCACAGCCCTGCACTGACAGACTGAAAGCTCTCAGTGGAAACATCTGTGCAGCTTTCCCCAGGACACCCTCAGCTTGATCCACGGTGCTCCAACAGCACCTGACACAGAGGGAAAGAAGGATGCGTGGTGAGTGATCCCACACATCCCACAGTAAAGAATGCTGCCCAAACTCTTGATTGTCTCTGCAGGTGCCACAAATCCAACTCCAAACTCTCCCCCCAGCACCCAGAGGCTGGAGCAGAGGCTGCAGCCACGCTCCGGGGGCGGGGAGGCCGCGGCTGGCTGGCTGACACACACCCACCCCCCCGCCAGGGCATTATGAAAAACCACCTCTGCAGCTATTCAGTGCCCCAGCCCAAAGGCTTAGGGAGACAAAGGGACACGAATTTGGCACAGCAGCGCCCGAAACACGCAGCCCCTCTTTCAAATCTGTCAGGACAAGCACTCTCGCAACAGCAGCTCTGCTCAATGCGAGCAGATCTGAGAGCCCGGGGCACACATGCCCAGAGCAGCTCCTCTTCCCATTTTAGGTGCCTCCAATCACCCACTGCTGTTGCTCTCGCTTGAATTTATTCATTTTTGAACCCAAATGCTGTTTTATGAAGATCACAGTTCAAGCACGAGCCAGGTCCTATCAGTAGGTGTGGTCTCTTCGCACATCCCTCCTTTAAAAGTTGGTTAAATCTTATAAACTCACCTCACGTGAATGTAATAAATATAATAAACTCACCTCACCTGCCAGCCCAGAAGCCAAGGGAGACCTTCAGAAGGATTCTGAAGCTGTGCACACAGAGCACTGTGCCTTCCTCTGGCTCTCAGCTTGGAGAGCTCTTCCAAAGGCACCACCAGCTGCTGCTTCCACTCATCCATGCAATGCCTTTCCCTGTTTTCTGAGTTTATTTAGGTGCTCAGCTACAAGTACATCTCCTATAACAGCTCCCACCAGCACAGGAGAATGGTGCTTAGCCAAGCTGATATTCTTTATGAGAAATATGGAAAGCAGCAACAGTGTTTGTATCAAAACCCTGAGCCAGGGCAGCCTTCGAACTCTTCAGCTCCATGGCTGGCAAGAAATCAGGATTTTTCTCTCACTGACTGGTTCCCATTTCATTAAGATTAAAGGTGTTGTGTCTCTCTAACACCCACTGTACAGGTAACACCCCTTCCCTAGGACAGGTGCCAGGTTTATCCAAGAACTCTGGTTTATTGACATTTGTCAAAACAATGCAACCATGTACAAAAGTTCATTCCACAAAATCCCAGCGCTTACAAAAGTTCATCCCGTAAAAACCCCATCACTTAATGCCATCTTCATATTAAAAAAACCTACCAGATTGCATTCATAAAAAAAATCAAACACTTCTTTTTCACATTTCTAAAAGCAGTGCAGCTGGTTTGTACCGTGAAATGCAGGTGATGCCCAGGGCCCTGCATCCAGCTCTGTCCCAGCATCCCTGGTGTGCTGGACACCTGCACACATGGACACCCACCATGAGGACAGCTCTACAACAAGGCACAACTCATCATCCTCCAGTGCCATCTCAGTCACCAACAGGATAACTACAGCACACTCCCGGGAAGGCAGCAGTGATCAGGAATCCTAAAGCAGCCAGACAGTGCAAGGCTGGGTGTTGGATCCAGCGGGTCCAGGCAGGACGGCCACAAAGTCTTAATGAGAACTGGGCTGGGGGTATTGCTGCCTGTTCCCTGAGCTCTGGAACAAAATAAAAGGAGCACATTTTACTCCCAACACTAGCAAAGAAAAAGGAATTCAAAGACCAAATCAAAAATAAACCAACTTTCTAATGGTTTGAAACATGTCATGGCAGAGAAGCGGGATAAGGGCAGATCTCCAGCTCCTAAACCACTTCTGCTCAGGAAGAGACACTACAAAGCAAGAATTAGCCAAAGTTTCACTGTAAGAATTAGCCACAGTCTCACCCAGTTCTCTTTAGCAAAGGTGAGATGGGTAAATAGACATCAGTCCACACAGTTCCTTTGAAAGAGCAGTTATTCCAACCAGCTGGACATCCCGTTATGTGCAACATGCCCATGTTGTGCCTTTACAGATGTCTCCAACAAACCAAACTTAACAACAAGGCAGGTGCTGAGGACACAGATTTCCACTGAAAAAGGGGGTTTTGACAGCAAAATAAGAACTAAAACCAAATGCAAGGCTTTGGGGAGAACATTCACTGAACAGCCTCCTGCTTTTTGTGCCTCTGCCTTGGCTGTGCATGCAAACACGGCACAGTTCCTGTACGTAGAGAAGAACCAGGAGGAACAGGCCTTTCACTCACCCTTCCTCTCCTTCTGTGCTGAGGAATGGGATGTTATCCTGCTGCCTGCTTGGATCCCATGGCAAGGGGGACGAGGCTGTCCAGCTGCTGCCGGTTCCCCGTCTGCACCAGCCACTCGTAGAATTTGTTTTCTACCAACGCCTGGAGCCGCTTCCTCTGATCCCTGAAGCCAAAAGATCAACAGGGAAGTATGGAAAAATCACATTTATTTATAGTGTTATGCTACTGCCTCACCTGCACTACCCAAACAAGCCTCCAGATATACCAGGAAGAGCCAGGCTTGGCTCCTGAACCCTCTGGACCAGGAATAGAAGGTTTTTACCAAGGGAATATGATGATAATAAACCCTAAAGGCAGAACTTGGTGGAGTCAGAGGGGCCATATAAACTTCCCCATCCCACCAGCACAACCACCCTGCTCCACAGGGCTACCTCCACTTAGCTCTCAGAGCACAGATTAAAAATTGTCTGAAAAGGGAGAAAAATGAGTATTAGTAACCAATGGTTAAGCACTAAGGACTCAAAATTCTGTTCTGACAGCACCTGGAAGAGAAAGGATGGAGATCGGGGGAAAAAATGCACCTATAAACACCCCTCAAATAATTCCTGTTGCTGGTAATTAACTTTTGGGGTGGTTTTGATAAGCCCAGCAGTCACAGGGTGTTCCACAGCTCAGGCTCCCTGGCACTGCTCAGATGCCCAAGAGTATCTCCAGAACAGCATCCCAGCCCTCTGGGATCAGCTCACCTCTGGAATTTGTTAAGCCAAAAGTGGCACAGGTGTTGAGCAGCCCCTGCTGGACTTTTTCCATGAGTTTACACAATTCATTTCTGAACACCAATAAAACGTGAACATTTTTTAATATTCTGGAGATTTTATGTGGGTTTGCTTTGAACCCATTCCTAATTTGATGTGCTGATCCCATCCTGTACTGGGAAAAGCAGGAAACCAGCTCCAGAGGAGGCCACTAAGATAATCAAACTGATGGAGCAGCTCTGCTGTGAGGAAAGGCTGAGAGAATTGGGATTGTTCAGCCTGGAGAAGAGAAGCTTCAGGGGGACCTGATTGTGGCCTTTCAATACTTGAAGGAGCTACAGGAAAGATGGAGAGAGACTATTTCCAAGGGCTGGAGTGACAGGACAAGGGGAATGGCTTCCCACTGCCAGAGGGCAGGGTTAGATGGGATAGTGGGAAAAAACTCTTCCCTGGGAGGGTGGGCAGGCCCTGGCACAGGTTGCCCAGAGAAGCTGTGGCTGCCCCTGGATCCCTGGAAGTGTCCAAGGCCAGGTTGGATGGGGCTTGGAGCAACCTGGGCTAGTGGAAGGTGTCCCTGCCCATGGCAGGGGGTGGAACCTGGCTGGATTGTTAAGGTCCCTTCCAACCCAGGCTATTCTATGATTCTATTCCTTTTTGTCCCCCTCAGCTCCATGTACCCAACCCTTTTTTCCAAGTTAAAGGCTGCTCTTTGTACAGATTCCATTGGAGCCATTCCCCAAAAAGCAGGGTTCTGGGACAGAACTAACCCAAATTCCTCCTCAGCGAACACAAAGGCAGCCACTTCTTTTTTCCCTTATGGATTTATCTTCTCCAAGTGCTTTTTCTCTACCTTGATCTGCTACTGACCCTGAAAGACTTTCTGTCTGACACGCTTGGAAAATGAATAAACAGGATTTTATGCTTTTGCAAGTTGCTCCTCAAGCTGTCTTACTGCTCCTGTCTTACTGGGGTTTTACTTTCAGCCTGGCAGGATTTACATTCTTTTTTTGCCCCACTTTCCTCATTCAGACAACTTCAACTTCTTGAGAGACGTCTTCTTATTTCTAACATTCCCTTTCACCTCCCGCTCAAGCACGGCGGCTTTTTCCTTTCTACAAGCCCGATATCCTGTTTGCTCTAAGCTTCCTACTTGTCTCCCCAGTTGTTTCCCTGCCTGCAGGAGACAAGAGAGACATTTTCCACTGTCAGCTGCCCACTTTCTTTTCAACAAGCTTCTAAACTTGCCACAGTTTTCCCCCCCTTTTATGGAATAAGCCACTCCAGGAGTGAGCTCTTGTCTCCTGCGACTGCAGGATGGCAACTCTAAGCACATCATCCCTGTTTCCTCACAATTCTTTAACAGGAAAGTTCTGACAGGCCAAATACCTTCCCAAAACCCTGGGGGGGAAGAAGCACCCCAGCTGGAGGGGGAAGCACCTTGGATGAGCTGATGAACACAAGGGATGACTCCAGCCTCTTTGCTCTCTGCTGTTCTTGATGACTCAGGGCTGGGAGTTTGAAGGTTTTCACACCTCTGTCCCCACCTCTGGGTCAGGACTGCTCTGCCACCCTCCTCCTGTAGCAAAATCCTGCCCCAGAATCCTTTCTCTCTCCCAGTCTAGAGTTCTTTCAAATTTCCCATTCCTCCATGCTCAGCACAGAGGCACCTGGATTTCAGAAAGGAACACAGGAAGCGGAGGGAGCTCCTCCAAAACCAGGAATCATCAAATGGGTCAGAACTCTTCAGCCTGGTACAAGGGGAAGCATTGACAGTTTGCCTCCTATTCCATGTTTCCCAGGGATAAACCCCTCCCAGATCACTGCTATCAGCACTCAGTCACACCCTGGTACCACTCAGCAACTGAGCACAGAACAGAAAAAAACCAACACAGTTTAAGCTCAGTTTAGGGAACAAAACTTGTTCTTATCAAGTCTTTACAAATGGATGTTTGAAATGGGGGTTTCTATCCCCAAAATGTGCTTGCAAACAAAGCTGGGCAGAGGATTCCATGGGATCAGCTCAAGAGGAATTTCAAAGTTCCTGTCCCAGACTGATCTGCTGCCATGATCCACAGGCACATTCCCAGCTCTCCTCAACAAGGGATGGGACAGTCATTTAAAGCTTCAATCCCAAGGTGAAGGGGGGCTGAGAGGGACTCCAGGCAGCTGCAGGACAGTGATGTGGTTCAGGGCACACACCCAGCCCTGCCCACAGCACTGGCAGCAGAACAGAGAGTGGGGAGGGCCCAGAGTCATAAACCCTCCCTGCCAGTGTGGATCCCTGCCCTCAGCCCTCAGCAGTGTCCAGGAATGCTTTCCCTGCAGCCTCACGAGCCGGGAAAATGCAACCATGAGAAAGCACCTCCTTCAGAGCAGTGTGGGCAGCAGGGTGAGGGAGGGGATTCTTCCCCTTTACTCCACTTGGTGAGTCCCCCCCTTGCTGTGCTGCCTCCAGCTCTGGGGTCCCAACATAACAAGGATGTGGAGCTGTTGGAGCAAATCCAGAGGAGGCCATGGAGATGCTCCAAGGGCTGGAGCCCCTCTGCTCTGGAGCCAGGCTGGGAGAGCTGGAGGTGTTCACCTGGAGAAGAGAAGGATCCAGGGAGACCTAAAGCCCCTTCCAGAGCCTAAAGGGGCTCCAGGAGAGCTGGAGAGGGACTTTGGAAAACAGCCTGGAGAGACAGGACAAGGGGAATGGCTTCCCACTGCCAGAGGGCAGGGTTAGATGGAATGTTGGGAAGAAACTCTTCCCTGGGAGGGTGGGAAGGCCCTGGCACAGGTTGCCCAGAGAAGCTGTGGTTGCCCCATCCCTGGCAGTGTCCAAGGCCAGGTTGGATGGGGCTTGGAGCAACCTGGGCTAGTGGAAGGTGTCCTTGCCCATGGAAGCAGGTAGAACGACACATCCTTTAAGGTCCCTTCCAACCCAAACCATCCTGGAATTCCATGACTCGGAGCTACAAGTGTGAGCATTCCCTTCTCACTTTGCCAGCCAGGATTGCTAATGACTGACGCCCCAGAACTGGCCTGCAGGACACGGCTCGCCCAACCCAACCCCTCCTTAAAGCATTTTTATGGAACCACATCACAGGAAGCCTCGGGAATGGCTGAGCTCAGCCAGCCCTGCCGGGCACAGCACTCACCTGGTCAGACCCGCCTCCTTCACCGCGCGCTGCCACACCTGCACCCGCTGCTCCCGCTGCCTCAGAGCCTCCTGGTACTCCTGGGGGAGCCCCCCCGGCGTCTCCGTGGTGTCTCCTTCCATCTCAAAGGGAATCACGAAGGTGTAGAAGTCCGAGGGGGGCAGGAGGCGGAACACGCCCGTGTCACTGCTCTCCCTGCACACCAGCATGGGGCTGTCCCAGTAGTTGGGCAGAGTGGCCAAGCCCACCTGAGCCATGTGGTCCTCCAGCATGGGGTAGTGGGTGTGGAAAGGGGCAAAGCTGACCGCCTGGTTCCCCGAGAGGATGAGGGGCTGGGTGGGTGTCAGAGTGTAGAACGTGCAGCCGGTGGTGGCTGCCAGGGACAGGCGGTGGCAAACCACCATGACCCTGACGCCGTCACAGCTCTGCACGTGCACCGACGTCTCCACGGGGCCCAGCACGAACGTGCTGCTCCGGCACTTCTCGATGGTCACGGAGCTGCCAAAGAACCACAGCACAGTCAGGGCTGGAAGGGACCTCTGGAATCACCCAGTCCAACCCCCCTGCCAAGGTAGGGTCACCCGGAGCGAGTGACACGGGAACCACGTGGGTTTGGAATGTCTGCAAAGAGGGAGACTCCACACCCTCCCTGGGCAGTTCCAGGGCCCTGCCGCCCTCCATGGAAAGATGTTCTTCCTCATGTTGAGGGGGAACTTCTTGTGGTTCAGTCTATGGCCATTGCTACTCATCCTATCACTGGGCACTACTGGGAAGAGCCTGGCACCATCCTGACACCTACCCTGGAGATACTTATATGGATTGATAGGAACCCCTCTCAGATATTTGTATGGATCAATGAGATATTTGTATGGATCAATGAGATATTTGTATGGATC